ATAACAAAACTTATCCACTGTTTTCGGTAACCGGTTAGGTGAGAATGTTCTGACTTGAGGTCAGTATTACTATTATGAGCGTTACTCAATGCGATGAGTGAAGCCCCGAATTCTTATACGTTTACAATCAGGAAGTGCCTATTTGGAAGACGATGCTATATTCACCGGGGGAAATTCAGCCACTGGCTAGTTGTCTGTGATACAAGAGTTTGGTCTAAATATTACTGTGATTGTTCGCCTCTTATTCTGTCAGTATCCTTAACATGAACAAGGATAAGTTATCTATGTTGAGCTCTTCAATGCTAATCTACCAATTCAAGTGCACCTGTCTTGCCACTTACGTAAGTCATGTCACAAGGCAAACATCCATTTAGAAACATCAACCCATAAGGCGTAGACATCAGGGAAACGGGTTTATCTCCAATTCGATTGTTTTACACTTGGTCCAGACCGGGTGGATGGTAATTCGGCTTACATCATCATGTATCACGTCCCATAACATGACTCCAAGGTGGTTCGAATTAAAAGGCCAGCAACAGTCAGGGCAATTAACATCGGCTTGTTAAAGCCAGAATTTTGTTCAGCATCCATGGCCCAATTGGAGACAACATAACGCGTTGTGAGCATTGTGATGACCCAAATCAGTTATCAATGTTAACATAACTCGTTCCTACCTAAAAAAGAGAACCGTAGGGATAAACTTGTCCCCCCCCCCCCCCCCCNCCCCACCCGTCGCTAATAATCGGTCTTGACTCTAAAACAACACCTTCCTGTTACTGTCTTACATAAATGTGATTGCGATGGTGTGGAAGAGAACTCATCGAGAACAAATTGAAGATTGGCGGGTCCTGATTATCTTGATGGGCTTATTTTGATAGTCAAATTATAAAACTGCTGATAAGTATTCGGGCACAGAGACTAACTAAGCCCGCCCATAGTTATTCTGAGAAACACCAGTAAACCTATGCAAAGGTATGAGGGTACATTTGTCGTCTTTGGTAAGTAGACAAGTCAAGTTAAGAGTGCACTTTGTTCATCCAATGTGGACTGAATTTTCAGTGAAAATAAAATGTGGTCACCTTTGCTTGGGCATACCCGCTATTGAAAAGGAGTTTAAAGATATGACAAATAGTTACTTGGATGATAATGAGAAGGACACTGAGAAGGTATAAAAAATGAAGAAAATTTCAGCATGAAAATTTACATTAGACTGTATAAGTTCGTTTGCTATTCCTTCCCTGGAAACCAACAAACGTGAAAGGTAAGGTACGACGGAGTTGTGAAAAACATTGGTACGAGTATATAAAGGTTTAGATTTATTGCGGGTGACAGAAGTTGAAGTGGAGCGAGATAGGGCTGAATATAAAGGATGTGATGCATCGGACAAGATAGAGTCACACAGACGGTCACACGCCTTAAGGTGTTGGTTGACAATGGAATCCACCAGCTCTTTATAAGATACAGCTCCATATCCAGAGGTGCTTTTCAGAGAGCCTCTAATTATTAGGGAATCCTTAGACAATAGACGGGGAAGGATAACGGAAGAGCAGTAGGTCCAATGGCGCACCATGCACAAGAAAATAGATACAAAAATGATTTACAATGACACCCTCAGATGTCGAAGGCGTGAAGTATAAAAGGTAAACTTTCTGACTTTAAAAAATGTTTGTCATACGTGATAGGACCATTTGAGGTCAGCAGACACGAAACATCCAAGATATTTGAAGTGTTGTGACCTTTCAACTTTTAAGGTATTGATTAAAATAATGGGAACAGATGATCCAGAAAGTGTTGATGGCCTACGGTTATTGGAAAACAAAACTTCAATGCATTTGTTGGGGTTTAAAGAAAGGCTAACACCATCGGACCATTCAGAAATGGAACTTATAGATGATTGAAGGGGGTTCGTTGAATGGTTGTTGTTATGAGATGCACCACCAACTACTATGTCATCGGCATATTCAAATGTGAAAACATTTGGGGTGACTGGCCAGTTTTGAATATAAAAGGAGAACAGAAAAGGGGATAAAATTGCACCCTGCATTACACCCTGGTTTACATGAGCAGTGGAAGACCTAATACCATTGAAACAAGTGAATTGGCGTCAGTCGGTAAAATAGTCGTGCATCCAATTCAAAAGATGTGGTGGGAGATTAGATTGCCGTAACAGTGATAATAGGATGTTTCTGTCAACAAAGTTTGTGTGTAGTTCAAGAAACAAACATGAACAATTTTGTGCTTTTGGTCTGTAGTTCATAAAACAGATTTTATAAGACAAGCAACCGCATCTAAAGTACAGCGACGCTTACAATATGCAAACTCATTGGAATCACGAAAATCATGATCATAGGATAGGTGCTTAATAATAATACGCTCGAAAGTTTTAAGTAATACCAAAGATGAAGCAATAGGCCGAAACTTACCCTTTTCTTTCTTGGGTACTGGAGTGATGCGATCATCACGCCATGTGTTAACTAGTATACCTACTGACAGACATGTATTGAATTGAGTGAAACGGTATGGGTGAGGTGGTTTCCGAGGTCGTTTGACAGGGGAAGATTACTGGAGAACCATTAAGTAGTCAGTATGATCGCAAAAAAGTGTTTGATATGATGCGAGGCAAACACGGGACAGTATGCGGCAGGAAGGATACAGTGATAACATTTTGACTTTTGCAAAACTCCACCTATCTGACCAAACCATGTAAGTTGACGGGCAAAATGTTATGCCCGGATATTTATGGGTATATGATACGGTAGGCAGGAGAGTTACGATGAAATTAAGACAGCTTTATTTTGTATTCATCATCACTGAAGACAGAAAAGAATCAAAGCATCTTAAAGTAATTAAACGCAAATCACGCTTGTTGTATACTTGTATACAGAATGTATATATATACACTTATGATGTTGACAAGTTATTGAAAATCGGTTCTCTTAGCTCGGGTGAACTGAATTCCATTTCGCCTGTTCACCCGAGCTTGGTCATTTGCTTGCGAACGTGTCATCATCAGCTGAGGTGACATTGCCAGAGCGTATGAAGTGATGGTCTAGTGCAAGGGGCTGACATTTCTTTTTCGCATTAGAACTGGGACGACAAGTTGTGATTTGGTTTGTTGTGCATCCTTAAGTACCGTGGAAGATATGAGAGTTTGTTCCAGTTCCTCCAGGTATTCCTTGTTTGTGGCATTTCTGACGTTCAAGTTAAGTAGTCCTTTAATGAGGATTTATTTTTCATCTTGTTTGATCACGCGGTTGGAGAGATTACGGACCCAGTTTTAATTCTCATCAATTCGCACATGATCATCGAACTTGTGGATCTTTCTTCAGTGTGTATATTATAGACCACCAATCAATCACCCGGAGGCCTGGATGATTTCATAACAATTTGGAAGACGCATAGTTCACGTGATGATCTCGGTTGCTCACAGATGTCTTTCGAAGTACAAGGAGGTTATACAAGAAGAACAGGAGAACTGCTGAACTGTAGTACTGAACGAACGACAGATAGAACAGCTAGAAGACGCATTAGGTTGACGTGTCAAAAATATTAGAATAAAAAAGAATACTGGCACAGAGAGAACAATGTAAAGGGGCAAGAACAGTGTTATCTACAAAATAAACTGCAACAACTGCCCAAAACACGATATCGGACAAACTGGAAGAAAACTATCAACAAGAATCCGTGAACACTATCATTGATTTACCTCCACGAAAATAAAGAACATCAATTTTAATTCTAATCAGTGAAAATCATCTACCAAGCCCGGTCAAGATACTCCAGAGAATTTCTTGAGGCTTGGCACTCTTCAATCAACGCAATAAGTAGGCAAATCGAACTGGATCACGTGTACACGTCAATGGAACTCAAGGATCGGATGATACAACAAGAGTCTGCGTCGTGACTTCAGAATGCAAGACAGACGTAAGAATATCCCACACACACATACTCCCATTAGTTCAACGGTGAATCCAGTGGAACCGAGTGAGAACAAAGGACAAAAATAGTCGATGGAGAAAAACATCTAAACGAACGGGTACAAGCACAACACTACCACTTCACAAGCACTGACGATAATACCTTGGCTGGTGTTATGGAACGTCCTGAAGCAAATTGCCAAGCTCGGCGAACAGGCGAAATGGAACACCTACAATGTGAATATGATGCTAGGCTGATTCGCAACATACATAAGAAAGACCAAGCGTTTTCAGAGTGTTCTGACAGAGAGAAGAAAGTACGCACCGCTGACGAGTCCCCAACAAGACGAAACAGCTGTCCACTGCTCTTTATTGTTTTCAGAGATCTTTCGAATACACTTTTAGGCTAACCCCTCGGCATAACGTTGCAAATGACGTTAAACTTCGAGCTTTTTGATAATCAAAGCCCAAAGAATGGACAGCTTGAAGTAGTGACTATAATACAGTTGCAACTTACATGTTTGCTCAATTATTATATTAACTTTAGTTTTAAACAACGATGAATGGATTGTGCTGTGCAAGATCACACAGTCGTATCGTTCGAGCTTTGGGGTTCAATGTAAATAATTTCAGAGGACAATTGATGGTGTGAAATGTAATTCGCATAGCCTTGCCAATGAGAAAGTGCTTCTGCAAAAACTGTTATGAATATTCATGTGGGTGTGCGTGCGATCTAATACGATGTGAGGTTGATCGGGAAAAGAGTGGAATTTCGGTTGCTACCTATGCAGATATTTGTTTTGGAAGCAGCTGTTGACATGTTCAACAGCGTTTTTGATGATTGGTCTGAAAAAATCATCACAAAAGTTGCGTATCCATGGTTTTCACACTGGCTGATCTAAGAAATGAAGCAATTTCGAAATCAAGGTCACCTTTGTCACTCCCCTTGTTGCACCGCTCTGAATTATTTGCGACTATTTTACCCCCCACACACTCTCTGTATCATCTCCACCTACCCCTCGCACCATCTTCACAACCCAATGGGCTCCGCCTTTGTACAGCAATGTGGACTACAATGAGTTCATGTCCTTCGTGAATGGACGTTTGGCCAAAGCGTATGCCACCGCTCACGGAATGGATCAAGAGGCTGCCATTGCCGAAATCATATCGAAAATTGAAAACACTACTCCCGTTCCGCACGGAGCAACAGTAAGTGCTAACCTGCTTTAAGAAAGATGGACGAAGTAACATACACGTAGGTAGGACTGAGGGAATTGATCTTTGTATCAGTACTGATTGCTTCACTTTCAAGACACCGACGAAGATCAAACTTCCCGCGGAACACATCAGATGACTTCAAGAGATGTGTCCACAAGCCGTTGAGTTACGCACAGAGAAAGAACCACGCTCAGACGGTCTTGAAGTATATTGCGATTGGGCTAAATGCACTCAAACCACTTACATTTATATGCGCTCTATTAGAGGTAAATTTGTTTTAGAGAGCACGTTACAAACCAAAGCGGGAGATAAGAAAGCGATGGAGATCATGGATTGAATCCACGGGCTTGTGGTTAACCGAAATGAGGGTGCATCAAGGAACAACGATGTATTTAGTGACGTGGTGGCTTGGGTTGATTTGGTTGCGTTCTGGACCATTGCATAATGTCGTCGTAAACAAGCGTTGGGATAAGAACCAACTGTGATTTTTTTTGAATTGAATTAGAGAACGATGCTGAAATGCAGTTTCTCCAGATATCCCCATTGTAAAGATATTAGCCTAGGTTGAAACAGGTTGTTCTCATATGAGGCAGCAATTCGGCATACCGGATCACAGGAATAATAGAAAGTAACAACAGCAAAAACCAAGAGGTTTTCGATGCGAAAGTTTATCGAGAATAAGAATTATCTTGAGTGCCACGAGTATTGAGTGAGGTGTCCAGGTATCACATGCCTGGTGAGGGATAATAAGTAAGATGCTTTATAGAATAGAGAAATAAATAAGTGAATAAACACTGATGACGATAAAATGCTGTCTTTTACACAGGTAAATAGGCTACGAATAAAATAAAGAGATGTTTGGGCTCCACCGATAATGTTTACTGTGCTTGGACCATAGAGGTTCGCTTTCTTTTCCTGCTTTCTTTTCCTCCTTACACATTCTCACTTAAGTTGTATGCGATATGAGTTTGTATGGTAATTCTAGTTATAATAGTAGTAGAATGCAATAAACGCGGAATACGAATCACTGATCAACAATCACGGGCACCACGTATGCACTAGATCACACTAGTACTTGCACGCAGTATCCGACGTAACCAAGACGCGAGGAAAAGGCCACAGGAGTAGCAGTTCGTTTGTTGAAGTAAATAAGAGGGATTAAATAATATGTACCAAACAAGTTCATTGGTCATCCTGGCCTCCGCCAATCGCACTCTAGTATTTCTGGCGTTGTTCAGCTTCTGTCTGAGCCGCACGGTTTCTCATTGGTTGCTACAGTCGACCTATGGTTTGTAGTCCAGAAGCTGTGGCACGCACGCGCTTTGCTGACGTCACCCGTGAAGCTTGATTGATCACAGTTGTCCAAAACCGTAACATGTCGCTCCGTGGTATGCGTCATCACAATGACTCTTTCTAAACGCTGATTTCCTTTGCTGATATATCCCCTCTCACCATTTGTCTAATGGGTTATAAGTTGTGCAGCGTTGAGCCAGGTCTTCGCCAAAAAGTATGAACACTATCACTGTGGAATCTGTGATGAGAGCTCAAATCATGCCCCGTAGATCACTCGCATCGTATGTCATGTGACTGGTCGACCTCGCTATTGACCTTATCAGTATTGACAGGCCTGATGATTATTGATCTGTCTTTTACCCATTGACCCTGTAAGTCGTGTTGGCACACTTACAGTCAACCCGTACCAGTTCGGTGACTTGTGTTCTTCACAAACCCAGGGACATACAGCTATAACAGAATCCCTGGTTTATCTCGCTCTAGTTGTCATCCGATTACTGAACCAAAACTTTGTCTCATTCTCATAGCTCCAGTTCAAAGGAGTGATACATTTGCCTTCTGATATAATTTTGTAGTTCCCTATTTCTGTGATCTGTTAATCAAAACTCTTTGCGTAAGATTCGATTCTTCTGCATCATTATAGTTATTTATGGTTGTGTATGCGCATAGATCTTTTTTTGGTTGCGTATAGAATATTGACATATTTTATAGCTCTTTTTTATGACGCTAGTTACCCGGAACGAAGCAGTAACAGGAGGAGATAAACGGATTTTCAATTTTCTGCGAGACAGATTCTCAGCGAAATGTAATAACAGCTATGTGGTTTGGTTTCGAGGAACATGTGGCTGAAGATTAACTGGAATGCAAGAATCACAAAAAGAAGAGAATGGATGAGTATATGATGGTTGAACTTGCACTAAGAATTGATATTGAGGATGATAGCATGACTGGACATAAATCAGAAGGGTGATAACTTCTTGAGACGTAAATTCATTTGTTTCCTGTGTTCACATTTTCTCGATCAAAGATCGCACTTGATTGTTCCCTTTCCACACGTCACAGTATGATGAACAACAGAAGGGAGGTGATCCCATAGCCTCGGGGCAAATTGAAACTGGATATTAAGAGTAGTGAACCACATAATGGCCCTCTCTGAAAGATTTGGCAATACATCGGCGCACAACAAAGCCGACTAACGTCAACTTCGAATGGTGGTGTTGACAGTGACTTAAATCGTTTGACCGGACTGTTTTGTCAAGAGCAGTCAAAGACCGTGTTTTATGTATGTTTTTGTTGAGTGCTTCTACAGTATACACGTGAAACACATGATAAACATCATTTATACAGGAGTTCATGCCAATGGTTACCAATTTCCACAGCTCTGTCCATAAAGAAGGGAATCATCATTATGATCATCGTATAGGGAAATACAGCGAAGCAAACCTCCCTGATCGGTGCTAAGCTGACAACGTAAACAATGTGAGTGATAAAGTATAAGATGGAGAGGGATTACGCCTACTTGCAGGGTGGAAAAGAAAGTGAGCCTCTATGGTCAACACACAGAGAACACAATCTACGTCGCATTGCAAGACTCTGGTGGGGTAACCGGATGAGCAATGCTGAGGTCAGGCGCAGAGTTTTAGGTAATCGTGGTCATCCACCGGAGCAAATAGTCCATAGATTACGCTGGCTGGGGCATGTGTTACGTAAGTCACCAAATAGGTTGCCACGGCCAGCAGTGTTTGTCGAGGCAGGTAGCGATTGGAAAAAGGTCAAAGGTGGCCAACCTAAGACCTGGCATGAGGATATGAAAACCTTAACCAGGAGATTGTGTCAGATAGGTACCGTTAGACTCCCTGGCTGGGGACCCCGAGATCATGCTCACCGATGGTTAGAGACACTGAGTGATATGGCTAGATGTCGCAAACAGTGGCGCTCATGCATCTACTCATTATTCTTGTAACTTCAGTCTATACTAACTAGCAATCTTCACTTGAATTTGCTCTCAACATTCAAATCTTCATTTTGCTGTTTGATCCAAACGGGCAACCTAAAGACAACAACTAAAACCGGTTGTAAGAACTGAACTGAGCACAACCTAAAGAGTGCACACATACCGTTTCAAGCATTCTCATCTGATAAGAAATGACAACAGAAACGCCACTACTGTCGGTTAGTTGCAAGAATGCAGTAACATGAAGGGGAATAATAATGATGAATCAAAAGAGGGCAATGCAGGAAAACAGACAGAGTTTGTGAGGCACCACTAGCTACTATCGAAACTTATCTCTGTTTGTGCCGTTACCTTCCAACACCTGATCTGATTCTCAACGGAATACCATAAGTGGATCCGAACCTGATTTGTTCGAGTTCTTTGTTTGGCATCAGCCCAACCCAGATCTGCATCAGCTCTGTAATGTGTTATGCGTGAATTTCGTTTCCCACCTTTGTTATTCTATCTCTATTTGATCGAGCGGTTTTCCCACTGACCATTGCTCCTTTGTACTCCACTTTGTTTCTTCCCTCTTTTGATCTCGTAGGTAGACCGCTGCTTTCATGCACTGCAGTCAAGTATGTTTGTTTCGGCCCAGCAGATCTATCCCTATTTGTATTGCTTGTGTTTATTTACCTTACGGCATGAATCGTGTAGTTATCGCCCATAGACTGTTTAGAACCGATATATAAATGCACATATATTTCGTGCACTTCACATTAGGAACAAAACCGTCTGTTATTCATCTACGTTCAAACAAACGACCAGAGAATCTAGCAGCATTTTGAGTTTACTGTTTATAAATTCTGGTTCAGCGGGAGTTGAGAAATTTTCTTTGATGTATACCACCACACGCACAGAAACAATCAGTCTTCAGACTTGGTCGTGACCGCGGTACACTGAAACTGTTGTATATCCGGCAGTTACATGTAGTAATTGTAGTACGCACTGGTCACGAAATACGAATCACGGACGCCACGTATGCACTAGATCACACTAGTACCTTCACGAAATTCCCACGTAACCAAGACGCGAGGAAAAGGCCACAGGAGTAGCAGTTCGTTTAAGAGAGCACGTTACAAACCAAAGCGGGAGATAAGAAAGCGATGGAGATCATGGATTGAATCCACGGGCTTGTGGTTAACCGAAATGAGGGTGCATCAAGGAACAACGATGTATTTAGTGACGTGGTGGCTTGGGTTGATTTGGTTGCGTTCTGGACCATTGCATAATGTCGTCGTAAACAAGCGTTGGGATAAGAACCAACTGTGATTTTTTTTGAATTGAATTAGAGAACGATGCTGAAATGCAGTTTCTCCAGATATCCCCATTGTAAAGATATTAGCCTAGGT